CAAGTTTTGGGCTTGTGTAAATTTTTCCTTTTGTTACCCAAATTCTTTCCCATGTATCCAACATTATTGGTTCTTCAATATTTTGAGCCCACTTTATCATACAATCTTTAACTAATTCTGTTTCGGAATCCATCTGTACTAATACATTGTATATCCTCTTTATATGCATTAAACTTTGATCTCTTATTTGTTTAAATAGATTATCCTCAACTTGCATGAAACCAATTTTTTGATCTGTTTTCCACCTGCCCATACTGGAACCATGTTTGAATTACCTTTTCCTCTTTTAATACATCTAAGGGTTTTAGTTGTAATACACCCCTTTCTAGGGTAAGAAGCTGTCTGTAAGTAATTATATCCTGTTTTTGTGCTATGTTCATATTTTCTATTGCATGTCTAGGAATTGCCCACATGGGACCCATTAATCTTTATTCCCAGCTAAAAGTTCCAAATCTTCCTAGCCTTCCTAGCCACAGAAATTGCTTGAGTCCTTTAGTTTTAAACATTCACCATATTATATTGTAAATATAAATAATGGTAATGCTTATAAGTATCATAAACAAATGTGGTCCTTATTTTGATTTTTTCTTTTGTCAGCTTTTCATTTTCAAATTTTCTTTTTCCTTATGCCAAATGTCATAACATGATTTTAAACATTCTTATTAATTCCACACCTATATCTTACATCAGATCAATGTCACCATTTAGGATGAAATTAAGAATTGCTTTCTTTGTCTTCTAAAACATATTCATTTAGACTATTTAGAGATTTTGTTTTTTATCATAGCCTAAATTTGAATGTACCTAGCCTATGTGAGAATAGCTGAAGTCCTACATTATTACAAAAGCTTTCTCCTTTGCACGCCTCCATGATTTCTTTCACCTTCTGCATTTTGATCAGGTGGGCAATAGCATATCCTTAAATCTAGTTTATATTAGATATTGCCATCCATAGTGATTCTGTGAAGGAATCCAGTGTTCCAATACTTTCTAGTACATTAGATTTTATATCCTATATGATACAAAGAGCATCACTTTCCCCACTATACCCTTCCATGTCCTTCCTATAAAGTTTATCAAGAATGACTGTTTTCTACTTATTCTTTCTGATACACCATGTTTCTGTTATACCCATTATACCTGTGTTCTCCTTTGTAGCCAAGCATTCTAATTCTCTCATCCTGGCATGAAGACTGCTAACATTGGCAAGGAAGCATATAAATATTAGTGTTAATATTGGGTCTTCTTTGAAATAGGGCATCAGGCCCTTTTTCTGTTATTGCTGACATGAACCTTTCTCATAGGCTTTTGATTTCCAGTCTGATCTGAACGTCATGACTATCCATTAACCCACTATCAACATTAATCCTATCTCTTACTGTATTTTCTAAAATACCAACACTATTTCTCATCTGTTGACTTTCTTTCAAGATTCAGCTTGAAAGCAGCTTTGGTACTTGCCTAATATAAAAAACCAGCAGCCTAATTCCATTTTGGTTTCTTTGTCTTGTACACATTTAAAGTCCCTCAGTGTCTAATCAGTCTAGTCCCCTCTATTTGATGTCACTTGATACAGTGGCATTTCATCAGCACACAGAAAAAAGGTGGGAATTGTGTCACAATGCCACAATATTTCATCATTCTTACCTACCCTTGCCTCTCTCCACCCACACATTAAGACTTCTAAGTTCTGCCTGTCTAGATGGGCTTGTATTTGGAAAATATTGTATTTCTGTAAAAGTTATCTCAATGGTTTTGCTGCAGATTGGCAAGTCACCAAGCAAAGTATGCATGTGTCATGTTTAAACTCATTCATGCTCAAAATGAAAGAATATAACTTCATCTCTCAAGGATTAGATCCCTCCTGCAAGAACATTTTCATTATTCTGAAAATGATGTCCTCCTTGTTATCAGAGTTATCATATATTGGCAGCTGAAAGAAGAGTTTCATGAAGTTTTTTCAGCATAATCACCTTGATTTCAAAGGTACATACTTGTTCCTGAGAGCTGGGAGCTCATTGTATCAAGTATAAAGCTACTGCCTGTGCCTACAGATAAATAGCTATTGACCTGCTACCTCACACATTGGACAACGTTCTCATCACTGTTGGCTAATTTTGAAACAGTGGTTTGTCTGAGGGAAACTGATAGCAGAAAGGAAAGGAGGTACTTAAGTTAGGGGTTTTATTTTTCCTCAGCAATTTCCCCACTATCGAATAATTATCAAAGTTTCTTATATCAAACAAGAAATGTCTTTTCTTTTTTGCATGCATAATATTTGGGTAACATAAATCCCCCCCAAAAACCCTCAGTCCCACAAAAAAATTATAAAGGTAATTGAACAATTATTTAGATTCTGTGAAATGACTTTATATCTATTAAGTGATAAGAAACAATAATTGATTCACAGGATCACATTACAAATAAAATTTTCATGATAGTTTTATAGCCTCATACAATATACATTCAAGAACAGTTTCACAATCATAGTTTACGTATCTCTTCAAGCAACAATGATCAGACTAACTGAAGTATTACACTTTCTAATAAAAGAGGGTCTTTTATTCTTCCAAAGAGTCCTGACTCTTCCCCAGGTCTCTGGGATAGGGGAGGTCAGGGCAACATGAGAATGTGGGTTGCATCAAGAAGGTACAGTTGTGGCATCTTTTTCTGTTTTTCAGTTTTATCACTGTTGTTTTTATGATTGTATGCATTTTAATTGGTTGTAAGAAGCCCAGAGTTGGTATTAAGATGCCTGGCTATAAGAATATTTTAAATAAAAATAAATACAATAAAATAAAACATTTTCTTTTGGAGTCTAAATGTTGGCTTTTGAAGTTCTTGGTTAAGTTTAAGCTATAAATTCCTGTACCTAGTTTTATGTTATGACTAATGTAATTAATGTCTCTGGGTTGTGCTTTATTTCCCTTATGACTTGGGTCTTAATGTTATAAAACATATTTCATAAATCAGCAAGGATTAGATGAGTATTGTAGAATATATCATCACCAATTACGTATACAAAACTATTCCTGAGGGATTCTATATCTAGTTTAGGGGTTTTTTTCACAGCCATTTTTCAGTAGAAGAATTATTTTATGTTCTGTTACTCATACCTTCCAACAAGGTGGTTGATGTTATTGCTTTTACATATTATTGATTAGAGGTATGAAGCAGTATATACAGTATTAAATTTATGTCTATAATGTAAACATGATATATAACTAACACATGTAATATATGACTTTACTTATAAACATATATGTAGTAGCTTTTAAAAATTGTTTGTAATGGCAAACTAGAATAACTCTCCTTAGATTTCCCTGGATGATATACTGGACGAAAACCTACGCTTAGCACGAGAGTATCAGATGCTCCAGATATGCTATCTAAATGATAAAAATCAACTTATGGACTTCTATGACCATAAAGACAGAGCTAAAGCTGTGTTACGGGATCAACAGGAGGTATGATAAAAATGTGTTATTTTTAACATCTTGTTTTTTTAATTATTATTACCAATTAATGTCAGAAAGTAAAACTGAAAGTATATCAAACAATATATTTTTCTCATGTTCTTTTGTTCTATTATTCATTTTATACTTTATAAAGGAAAATATCATTTTTTGTCAACCATGCTAGTTTGCCTCAGTTTGGATCTTATTAATCCAAGGACAATGGAATTTAAAAAGGGGGTAGAGATTATTGCAGTTGGCTATTAAATTTGACCTATCATGATTTGGTTCTTGGCGATTAGGAGGCAGAACTCTCATTTATTTGTTTGTTTGGTTTACTCAAGTTTATAGGCTGCTTTAATCATAAATGGACTCTAAGTGGCTTATATTACCAATTATCATAAAAAGATTAAAATGATAAATGTAACAGAAAATAATACAGACCCAGATGACACTTTATTGGCATAGAGACTTTCAAGGTACAAACTGATCTTATTGGATGAGCAAAGGAGCATGGGGCCCTAACCAGCTCTTATGCCATATTAGACTTTAAAGATAACAAGTAGCACCTTAAATGATGCCCAGAAGCCAACTGGTAACCATTACAACTCTCATAGTAGTGACATCAGCCAGGCATATAAGACATGCCCATAAATATGCAAGTCATGCAAACTGTAACTTCTGGGTTATTCTTTTGGGAGGTGAGGGTACCAGTATGATTGATTACAGAGTAATATCCTTAAATTTGCCTTCCAATGAAAGCATAGTTCTCTATTCTGATGAAATCATTTCCCACTTTTGAATGTTGACATTTAGTATGCAGAAAGGACCACAAGGCATGAAGGAGACTGCTTGAGTGTTGATTTCCCAAATTAAGTGGACTAGCAAGCCTATGGGAACAGCCTCACAGCTTTTTAATATCTCCAAAGGATCCCATTTTAAATTATCTTTGAGGTTTATGAAGAATATTTATGAAGCTCTAGCTATTTATCCACACATTACCAGTTGTACTCAAAAACATATAAAATCTAATATTACTCCCAGTTAAAAACTCATTCCAAAGTTCAAGCTTTGGCTTAATAAATAATGTGTTGTAACTAAGGCTAAATTAGCAATGTGTGCAGGTTGATCACCTTTACCAGCAACCTTCACTCTGAGGATGCTGGTTTGGCCCTGGAAAACAATAGATAAGACACTTCTAAATAAGAAGAAATTGGTAGAGCAAATGATATAAAAATGAGAAAAGCAGGCCAAGATAGAAAAACTCTACTGCCTTCTGGTGTCTTAACTGCCAATTCAATTCCAAAAATCTAGTTCTGGGGCAGGGACTTCTGATCTGCCTGAAAAATAAGTCTGCCATTTTTGTGAGCTATTTAATATAAAAACAAATAAATCAGACCCATGAGTCGTAATTTCTAGTCCTGTCCCAGCCATCACTTCAGAGATTTCCAAACTTTGCAAAACGATGATGCCATCAGAGGGCATCTGATTCCTGTTGAACTCCTAAAATCAAATTTTGAATGGTTTGTTTGTTTAGCCTATGGCATCTACAGAGATCATACAATCACTGATATACAGACCAATAAACTACATTATCCATACTCTGTTTCTCCAAAAGTAAGACATCTCTGGATAATAAGCCCAATTGGGCTTTTGAGCGCATGCGCTAAAATAAGCCCTTCCCCAAAAATAAACCCTCCCAAAAATATTGCAACACAGCAGCAGCCATGAGATGACCATGCTTGCCACCTCCTGCACCTCAAAAATAATAAGATCTTCCCAAAAATAAGGCCAAGTGCTTATTTCGGGGATCAAACAAAAATAAGATCTTGTCTTATTTTCGGGGAAACACAAATATAAGTTTAAATAAAGCATCAGCAAATAATCTATGTAAAGTATGTGGACAATAGACAAGGTAAAATTTTCAATTATGTAAAACCATGATAAAATCACCATAATATAATGCCTTCGAGTCACAATAGGATAGATGCTATAGTTCAATATTTAAGGAAGCTACCCTTCTAACTGCTTCTGGTGTGGCTGTGATGAGATCATCCTAGGTGCCTGGAAATTTCCTGAGGAGATATTCTCAAACTATATTTGAGAATGTTGTTGTTTGTTCCGGTGTACCACAGTCACATTGTGGCCATTCCACACTTAAAGAGCATTGCCCTAGTTCTGGCATGGCCTATCCTGATTCTGTTCAGATGGTTCCATATTTTGGGAGGCAACTGCATTCCTGGAAGTACTTTTTGTTGGATTTACATGATCTTTTTGGTTATGGTTATTAAGAGTCACCCATTTTGATTGCCATTCTTCATCTAGATCATAAAATTGTGGTACGTTATCCTAAATTGGTTTCCCTAGACTTAAACCTGGTGTGAGATAGAGAATCTAATACTTCACAGTATGTATCTATAGATCTCTAGGAATTGATGGCCTGTTTATCTTATTCAATTTTCAAATACCCGTTGTTGTCGCCTGAGATCAGAGGGGGCACTGTTGGAGCTGTGAGAGCAGTGTAGATTTGAGAGTTCTAGTTATTATTGGCTTCGTGTCATTAAGATAAACTTCAATCTTTTTGGTATGACAACTTCTTTCCCATATAGGTGCATAGTATCCAGCAACAGAGTAAACTAAACTAATGATTGTATGCCTTGTATGCAATGTTTTTGCTTGTGCTCCCCAACCTGTTTCCATGATTTTCCTAATGAAGTTGTTCCTTGTTTTTAATTTTTGTAGAACCAAATAAAGTGAATCAGCAGTTTGAATTCTGCTGGCCATACCCTTGTGCATTCGCTTCTTTGTCCCTTTGGGTTGTGAATGGTGGATCTAGGAGATAATTAGCACTTCTTTGAGGGAAAATGCAATACCTCCTGTTTTGAAACTGGCAGTGATCTTCTGTTTCTCATAGAAGGCCTTCCTGAACTGGTGGTTTATTATCATTTTACCCAGTCTGCAACTTTTCTCTTTTATGAATTTGTTGAGAATGTGCTACAAAATCAGCTACTAAACATTCTAGAGGAGATTATCTAGATTCTTTCCACTCAGAATTTGGGCCCAGTGAGGGGATAAAAATAACATTCATTGCTTTTGTAGATAACCTTTCTCAGGACCAGATGGGGGAGCATACTCCTCTTGGTCTTTTTAGACTTCTCAATGTCATGCAAGTGGATGGGTGGGTGGATCAGATACAAAAATGGAAAAGTAGGGGGATAGGAGAGGAGGGGAGGGCAGAGAAGAGAAGGGAGGAGAGGAGAGAAGTTAAAAACCATGTAAAAAAAATTATACTAAAATTATCCATTGCATCTGTAGCTTTATATAGTAATTATGAAAATTATCATTGGAGAAATTTCTTTATAATTTTTTTTTGATAAGGGGAACCAGTCACACACTTTCTTTAAAACAAAAATGTATATTATTGTACCAGGAGCATGAAAAGTAACCCTAAAAGGGGTGGAATGCAACAATTATAGAGTTATGTAAATTAACCATTTAGCAGTATGAATGATACATATGATTTATGAAAGTGAATTCTATGAGATAATCGGTAGACCTGCAAAAACAATAGTATATTTGAGAAGACAAAGCCAGTATTATATAAGTATAATTACTTTCTATGGAGTTATTTTCATGGCCTTTATCTTATATCAAATTTACTTGCCAGAGATTTTTCTCACTTCCTACCTAGCATCTTTTCCCAACTTCACCAGCATTATTTGGTCTTCAAAATATTTTATGGCTGAACTGACATTTATTGTTCAGTTCAAGGAAGGTAAAGTAGGGAGGGAAATATTGCTTTGCCTAACTAATGCAATTTCCCTCCTAAAAAATACTTGTTTTTCATGTAATATAAATGAAATATATAATATACAGTGTGTGTGTGTGTGTGTGTGTGTGTGTGTGTGTGTGTGTGTGTGTGTGTTACAGGTTTCATAGTTTTATAATTTATGATATATTTATAATACAATATATTATTTATTTTCTTATGATTGACTTTTTAAAATTATGGAAAACTAGTTAATTTTTTAATTATCCAGGTTGCCTACTTGTTATAGGATGTAGGCTACATAAATCGAATAGGATCCAAATCAAATAATCACAAAATTAGTTGAAAAATGCTTTGGTAGTCTAGTGAAGCTACAAAAACGTCAGCAAATAAAGAATGTTTCTATTGTTTACATTACAATAAGAAAAATAGTTGATTATATACTGCTTCTATTAAGAGATATATTTTTCCTGAGGTTTGTGTCAATAAGCGAGTTACAACTGCAATGGAAAATCAATTTTGTGGGAGTATCACAGTAATGATTTTTGTAGTTGCTATACTGCACATATTCATCACAGTGACATGAATCCTCAAAGAGAAAATTACTCTCATGTTCACACTTTCCAAAATTCACGGTATTGCTATCCTTAAACACAGATGCACCTGCACAGTTATGCAAGTAGTCCTTGATCAGCAACTGCCACATTTAGTGCAATTGGCTCCGTTGATCCTGAAAAAGTGGATTGTAGGGAGTATGTGCACAAGCACCTGTGGTTTAGATCCATGATCCTCCTGGCTTGTGAAAGCTTCCTGGGAGGTGATCAGTGATGGGTTTCAATTTATTTTACTATTGGTTTGCTCATGCATCTGTGCAACGGCGTCCAGGTGGGTGGGCAGAAACCCACCTCTGGAGGTGATATATGGGTGGTTCAGGCAATCATTAATGCTTCCCTGTGGGAGGCAGTTGCGCTTCAGCATTTTAAGGAGGCTGTGGTTCACCCACTTCTTAAGAAGCTATCACTAGATTCCGCCCTATTGATCATTTTAGACCTATCTTCAATCTTCCGTTTTGGGAAGGTTTTTGAGAAGGTGATTGCATGATAGCTGCAAAAGATCCTGGATGCTATACTCAGCATGGCTTTCTTCTACAGCTGTATGATTGTGCTGTGCTTCAGTTGTACTTGGTAAATGTAAAAAATAGTTAAGAAAACTGAAATGTAGTTTCCTTCCAGTTTTTACAAAG